AACTTTTCCTCAGTCAAGGGGGTAAAACGGGGGCTGTGCAGAAGTGTGCCACGTGTCGGGGCCGCGGCATGCGGATCATGATCAGACAGCTGGCTCCTGGCATGGTACAGCAGATGCAATCCGTGTGCACTGACTGCAATGGAGAGGGTGAGAATTCATTTTCATTCAGTGAACTCCGTTTGTGATGGTCCGAATACAACATTTCGATGCTTGGTTGCATTTTTAGGTGAAGTGATTCACGAGAAGGACCGCTGTAAAGAGTGTGAGGGCCGTAAGGTGTGTAAAGAGGTGAAGGTCTTGGATGTGCATGTGGATAAAGGAATGAAACATGGACAGAAGATCACATTCAGCGGAGAGGCGGACCAGTCGCCCAACACAGAGCCTGGAGACATTATATTGGTGCTGCAGGAGATTGATCATGAGGTAACACACACACACACACACACACAATGAGCAGTGTAGAGTCAATAGTAGGACTCCAACAAACAACTATTTTGACTATCTGTTAATTTATTGCTCATTCTTCCCAATGTATTTCCATAGATAATGTGCACACTGAAATCTATAAATTAGTTTTATAGTAATCTGTGCAAAAATCTAAAATATAAAGGTAAGGATAAAATTTATATATTTATATTATTATTATTAATGATTATAAAGTTATAATTTATATTTTAATATAAATATATTTGTATTTTTTTTTTAATTGAATGTTTTTATATTTTTAAAAATGCTAAATTATTTAATGTAAATTAAATTATTATTCAAAAGCGCCATTACTTGTTTTGCATACAGGATTTCAAGTTTCAGTTCTAATTAATGTAATACACTAACTGCGGTTACTGAAACCACGCCTTCTTTCTTTGCGTGCACATTTGGGCGGCATTATGCAAATATTTCCACATAGTGAGGTAGATATGTGGGGGCGTGTTAGAACGAGCCGTTTTAGGGGGGCGTGGCAGAGTCTTAACTTTGATAAAGAATATCTCTTTGGTTTTGAGACTTTAGTCTTTGCAACTTCAGGGATCTTATCTATGCACAATCAGCTTGTAACACTCCAAAGAGAAAGGAAAACTTGAAATCGCATCATATGACCCCTTTAATGTACTTAAATTGTTGAATCAAAAATATTATTTTAATTAATAATTGATCTTTATTTCCTGTTGCACTTTAAGTTACATATATGCATGTGTTCTTAAATGAAAATGATGTAATCATTTATTCACCTTCCACTTGTTCCAAACCTGCATGAGTTACTTTCTTCTATTGAACACAAAAGAAGTTATTTTTAAGAATGTTGGTAACTGAACAGTTGACAGTAGCCATTGACTTCCGTAGTATTTTTTTTCCATATTATGGAAGTTAATGGCTACTGTCAACTTGAGTAAATTGACAGAATTTGCTTTTTTTTTTTTTTTTATGGTGAACTTTCCCTTTAAGTGTATTTGAAGTCAAGCAAGCAAGCAACATTTTAATCACTTTCTGGCAGTTAGAATATGCTTTTTTGCAGAATGAAAATGGTTGCATTATAAGAATAGAAATGTGTTTTTTGTTGTTTTACAGCACAGATATCTATGATGTCTTTGTTTACAGGAGTTCCGTCGTGATGGAAACGATCTGCACTTGTGCCACAGGATTGGTCTGGTGGAGGCGCTGTGCGGATTTCAGTTCATGCTCACGCACCTCGACGGCCGACACCTCGTCATCAAATATCCCCCTGGCAAAGTCATAGAGCCAGGTGAGCACCAGGGTTTGTCAGTGTTTTGTTCATGTGTTCGTAGAAGATGCTGTAGGAAATGTTGTTGTGTTCTCGTTGTCAGGTTCTACAAGGGTCATCCGAGGGGAAGGAATGCCTCAGTACAGAAACCCGTTTGAGAAAGGGGATCTGTACATCAAGTTTGACGTCCAGTTTCCTGAGAACGGCTGGATCAGCACGGAGAAACTAATGGCGAGTTTTCAACAGTGCTGTTATTGTTAACTAAAATCATTAAAAATGTTCTAAATACAGCTTAAATAAAATATAAATATTAGATCAAATGTTTTTTAAGTTTGAGTACTAAAATTACTAAAACCAAAACTAATTAAAACCTAAATAGAAATATTTAAAAACTATTTAAGACATAACAGATTTACAAAAATTAAATTAAAACCGAAAATACAAAAATAACTAATTCAAAATATTAATAGTAGTTAATAGTTTTTAATAGAATATAAATGATTTATAAACAATAGTTTATGAAAATGCTGAAAAACACTGGTTTTCAAAGTATACAAATATTGGGTAAAATTTTTAATTTTTATCTTATTAGTTTGTTTATTCGTCTTTGCATCAGTAGCGTGCCTATGACGCCTTAAAATGCTTTCTAAAGTAGCTTATTAGGTCTTGGAGCTATTTTCTTGTTACTATAAGTTGACTAAAACCTTTTTTTTATCTTATTGCCTAGGAAATATTTTTCATTTTAATTTAGTTTAACTTGATGTAATAAAAAATAAATAAAAACTATATGGACACACACAAAAAAAAAAAAAATCCAAATAAAAACAACATTAATGACTAAAACTTTAACTGAAATAAAAATGAAAACTCATACAAACTATTAATAAAAAATACAATGGTACCTATATGATAGTAAAATATCACTGGAGTGTACCTGAAGAGATGCAGACTTGGGTTGAGTTGCCCTGTTTCTCGTGTGTGTCTGCTCACGCAGGAGTTGGAGGATCTGTTGCCGTCGCGTACAGAGGTTACGGTCATCTCAGCTGATGCGGAGGAAGTTGATCTGCAGGACTTTGACATCAGTCAGGGATCGTCTGGTGGTCACCGCCGTGAAGCGTATAACGACAGCTCCGATGAAGAAGGTGGTCCGCATGGTCCGGGGGTGCAGTGCGCCCACCAATAGTCCCAGAATTCTTTGCAAGTTTTTTGGGGGAAGTATTACGATTCCCTTTTGTTGGACAGATTCAATCCCCACCTCCACGTTCATCATATAGTGAACCAAACACACACACTTGCAGTATATATAGACATACACTTAGACTTATTTACTGCAATCCTACCTACAAGTACACTCATTCATGCACTGTTTTAAAAGAAATGACAAGCATAACTAAAGGCAGAGCAAAATAATTTATTCATCACTACTTCATTTCCATTGTAGACTTTCACAGTATATATGCTCTCTGAATATATAAAATTCAATGTCTGTGGGGAGACAGACTGTGTTGTTTAAGTTATAATTAACACTTAATGTGGAGTTTCCTGGAGTTCAATAAAATGTTCAGACGTGTTTCATTATATACTTGCCAGTTATTCAGGCACTGTCAGTCATCTTGTACTGGTTTATATTCAATGGCAGGACAGAATAGCATGCATGTGGGCGACACACTCTCTACTGAGATGAATATGAAGCAAACCAAACCCAGAAGTGTTTTAATGTGCTTTCTGTCTATGATAAAGGTATACGAGTCATGCAACTTCTTATTTGCCAAAGAAACACCACAGTCTTCTTAAAAGATCAGCAGCCAATGTGTGCATGCATTGTAAGCACTATTATAAACCTGTAAGGGGCGGCATTCATCATTGGCAATTAGGAAAGTGTTTGAACCGTGAATACAAGTTGCTGTCGTTCAAACAGTTACTTTTGTGCTCATACATCAATAAAGTGGATGAATGTTTTGACTGTGTGCTGTATGTTTGTAGAAATGGGTTTGAGTACCCACTAGTGTCCTTCTTCAGTTTCTGTCGTGCGTTGAGCTGTGGGTGCAAGGAGCTCTTTAAATCCAGCTGTGTTTCTAGAAAAACAAAACGTTGCTAGATTAGGGCAACTTTCATTTTTTTTTCTAAAAAGACCCTCATTTAGTTTCAAACTCAGGATTTTCTTTCTTCATAAATGGAGAAATTTAGCAGATTGTTGATGCTGCCCTTTTTCAGTCACCACCGGTTGTTTCGAATGGAAACCTATTTCTGTCATGTTAGAAAAAAATGATGCTTTGGTAAATCAAATTATGACATAAAAGCTACCAAGTCATAATTATGAGAAAATCAATTAATTCCGACATAAAAAAAAAAAATCTTAAAAATGAATTTCAACTTGACTTTTTACTATGACTGACTTTTTATCTCATAATTCCATCTTTTTATCTCAGTTATGACCGGTCATCATATTGACAGTTTATCTTATAAATATAAGTTAGTATGTCAATGTCCACTTTTTATCTCATCATTTTAACTCTCGCTTTTGATTTAATTTTCAACATAATTCAACTTATTATGAGATAAGTTGACATGCAAAAATCTAAATTATGATTTGTCAACTTCAACTTTTATCATAATTTTGACTTAAAGCATGCTTTTTTTATGTTGCAAAAATGGGTTTCCATAGATTTCAAGCACCAAAATGAGCACAAAAAAAAACTTCGGGTGTGGCATCAGGATAAGTAAATGATGACCATTTTCATTTTAGGATGAAGTACTCCTTTAAGTGACATGAAACACATATCGATCACTGTCAGACTGAAGTAGTCTAGCATTAGTATGTATATCAGTGATTCTCAACCCTGGTCCTGGGCACCCCCCAACACTGCACATTTTGTGTGTCTCCCTAATCAAACACACCTGATTCAACTCATTAGCTCATTAGAAGAAACTCCAGGACCTGAAATGGGTGTGTCAGACAAGGGAGACATACAAAATGAGCAGTGTTGGGGGGCGCCCAGGACCAGGGCTGAGAAACACTGATGTATAACTTACCTCTCCCGTCTGGTCTGGAGAATGCAGGAGCGTTCTCTCCTCATCTGCTGGAGTTTCTCTCTTACTAAAGTTTTCTGTTGTTGCTCATCCTCCTAGAACATTTAGTCAACATTTACATCATGTCCACATTAAGGTGTCTGCTAATGTGCATGTGAATGTGTGTACCTGTTGTAGTGTGTCAGTCAGATGTCTGAGTGTGTTTTCCTGCGTCAGACCCAACAGATCTTCATCTGCCTTCCGACTCTGGACGATAGCCAGTCGCTCTTGAGCCTGAACAGACGGAAACACAATTCACTTACAATTCAGTTGTCAACCATTAACTTTATTCATATAGTTTTTTTCCTGCCCTTAAAGTCAACTTAAAATCAAAACAGATCCTACTTAATTCAAATTCCTGGTCTTGTGCTCAATTCATCATTGCATGTTATTCCAATAATTATTCCAACAATCCAGAAATGTCATATTTGGAAAGTAAGATGGGTTATGAATTTGGAAAAGGTCCAAAAGAAAATTATATGGCCTTTTTCTACTAAATATTTCACATATAAAACACATGGAAGCCCGTTCCAGATACTAAGTCACAATTGGGTCAATATCACTGTAGGGTGCATTTTGGCGTCCTGTACATAACTCGTTTGCCATAATAATTGAACATAAAAATGACTATGAAAGGGTGTGTTATATTAGGCTAAGTTTTTATATCCATAACAAAAGCATTACTTGGCTCTTTAGATACATTTTCTAGATTTTTTTTAGTTTTGTGTAAGAGGATGCGTGTTATTTTGCTATGTCCCATGCACTGCTCTTTACATTTGAATGATAGTAGAATATTGTCAAATCATAAAATAAAAAATTTTTGTTCTCCTATTAATATTTTGTTAAATAAGAGATTACTCAATTTGAGTGTATTGATCATTTGGTAATAAAAATTATATTTTTTATTTAATAAAAAAAAGAAGAGTTTGTCCATGTCCCTTGAATGGTTGTCCAACCTGTCCTATTGGGGAATCCGCCCCTTTAAGAAAAGGCCATCCCCTTTAGTGACATCAGGACAACAGATTTTTTGTCTCTTCAGTGGCGGGAATTTCAA